GACAGTACCTCTCCCCGAATTCAGTGAAGCTGCCCAACAGCCCAGGACGGAGCAGGTCAACCTATCGGGGGTGGGGGGGAGGGGAGGGTAAGGGAGGGGGGGAGGGAAGGGAGAGGATAGGGGGCGAGGCGGGGAAGTGAAAGTTGATTCCAGTGGTTCCAGTGGCGAAGTAGGAGTCGGGTGTTACCCGTCACGCAAACCCCCGAACCAACAGTACGAATACACACAGGCACGCACATGCCGTACTCCCTCACCTTCGCGTCGTGGCAACACTGATTCCTCATAACCTCAACAAACGAGTACAAACGCCCACCGGCAGACACACACACACATACACACACATACATACACACACATAGGGACCCCCTCCCGCCTCTGACCCCCTCCCGCCCCCAGCTGTACCAACCTGCGGCCATATCTCCACGGGCCTATTAAGGAGGGGCGTACCGGAGGCGAGCACCGCCCTCTTAGCGCCCCGCACCAGGCGAGCGACACACGCGTACCGGGCCGTGGTACGGTTCTTGAGCATGTGGCTCTCGTCACAGATCACTGAGTGGTACCTGGGGGGGAGAGAAGGGGGGGAAGAGCGATCGTGGCCCGACAAAACACACCGAGAGGGAGGCGAACCACGAGCGAGTGAAGCTGATGCCAAGGAAAGACTGCTTCGCCCGTTGGAGGAGGAAGGGGGGGTGGAGGGGGGGAGGGCGATCGCGGGGCTACAAAACACACCGAGCCGAACACGAGCGCCTTCCTTCCGGCAGGTTGGCATTCGCGCGGGGTTTGTTCGCCCTTGACAAAAGGCTCCGTCCTCCCCACCCACCCCCCTCACACACGCCCAAACACACACACACGCACCTGACCGCATGTTCACTGTCCATCTTGGCCGCCAAGTCGTAGCTCACCACCGCCACATGCGGCCTAGCTGCCCCCCGGCTGTAGCCACCCAGCACACTGCTGACGGTGCTACTGCCGGCTGCCGTACCCCCCGGGCCCAGTGTCACCCCCGCCTCCCCCGCCAGGCGGTTCCAGTCCGCGGAGGCGCTCACGAGCCACAGGTCCCGATCGGCGGGGCGGAGAGAGGGGGGGAGCCACTCCTGGATAGCCTGTGTGTGTATGTATGTGTACGTACGTATGTATGTGTGTATATGGGGGAGGGAGGAGGGAGGATCCAATAAAATTCAATCGCTCAAACGATAGGTACTGCCCGATGACGACAGAGTACGAGATGGTGGCGGGGAGAGGTGGAAACCCGTCGAAAAAACCCCGACCCCGGGGGACTAGGAAGGTTAAGAGGCCGCAAAGTGGGGTTTACCCACCGCCTTTCGAAAGGCGCATCGAGAGCACAAACCAGACCTCAGACCGTTAGGTGACCCCTTCGATGGTAAACGGTTTGTCGTACACTCCAATCTCTCCGTACACTTCCGTACTTACCGCCACCCACGTGTGTCTCAGTGATGTGGGACACACCACCAGCAGCGGCCAGTCCTCCGGGTAGCAGCTCATCAGGGTTAGGGCCTGAGGGGGAGGGGGGGGAAAGACGAACCGCACACGATTGAAGCTGCTGCCAGGGCAAGAGAGTAGCAAACGTAAAAACTGACCGAAAGGCGTCCGTGGCGACTGTGACGACTGTGACCTCGGGATGACGACCCCGCCCCCACTCCCCCACCCCCCCACTCCCCCACCCCACCCCTCACTCCCCCACCCCCCCACTCCCCCACCCCACCCCTCACTCCCCCACCCCCCCACTCCCCCACCCCACCCCTCACTCCCCCACCCCACCCACCTGCACAGTCTTCCCCAGCCCCATCTCGTCTGCCAGCAGCACCCGGCCGCCGAACCGCACCCCCGCAAGCACCCCCTCCCGCTGGTAGCGGAACAGCCGGGACCACAACCCGGAATCCACACGCTGGGACACGATCTGCACGCATGTGTGTGTATGTATGTATGTGGGGGAGGGGGCGGGAAGGGGAGGAAAAGGGAAACTAATGGGAAATTTGGGGGAAAACGGAGACTGCCGTACTCAGGCTTGGAGCGGCGAACCATGAGGTCGCGAAAGGTGGGTGAGGGAGAGGGGTAAAAAACACATGTACAGAAATGCGCTTCAGTTGACAAAAGTATTTAGCATAGTATTTAGCAAATCATCATGTGGGTTGATTGACCCATGACCCGCACCTGCTGTGCCTCAACCGCCGTGCACTTCGGATTGTACGGACTTGTACGGTGTACGAGCAGATCAATCACCTGGGCCGTGGCGATATGTAAGGAAAGGGGAAGAGCAAACTCAGTGTTGAGGGGCAGGAGGGAAAGGAGCCGCGGAATGTGGGGACAGGTTGTGAACCCCACACGGGGGTAATGGACCCCTCCACAAAGATGGGTCCCTCCCCGCCTTTCCCCCCACGCGCTGTGCAGCCGCACCCGGTAAACCTCTCACCCGGGGGGGCGAATCCTGTGAGAGCACGTGATCCAGGTGCAGTGGTTCCAGATCCAGATCCAGACGTTCCAGATTCAGATCCAATTTCAATTTTCATGTGGCGGTATCAGTACAGCACCAACGCCACACACACACCGGATTGAGGGGTTCGGAGGGGAAGTTTGGGAGGGAGGTTGGAGGGGGGCCAAATTTGGTTGGGGACTGGCTGGGGGTGGCGGGAGACATACATACAGACGCGGGGCTGCTGGGGCCGGGCATCCGGGTCCATACCCAATCGCAGCCGTAGTGCACCGCATGAGCCGTAAAATTAGCGGGGGGTGTTTGGGGGGGGGGTTGAGCTGCGCCCGGATAGACGAAACAGCCCTGTCCAGCTCGCATCCCGGCATTAGAAACCGTACAAAACGCCAACGATTTCCGTACCGTACGGCACACCATCACGGCAAGGTTCTACCATGCATAGGCTTGCCGTACCCGAGTAGTACACCGCAGAGGATGACCCCCATCCCGGCCCCCTCCGGTCCAACACCCCATCATGGTAACACAACCGACGTAGATAAGACATACAGACGTACAGACGCACCTCCAGCACAAAACCGTTTTCCGTTAGCACCTTTTGAACCTGGCAAGATGTAAAGGCGAACAGGGTCGTGGGGAAAAACGGTCGGTCGGTCGAGGGGGGGGGGACGGACGAGGGTGGTGGCTGAGGACGATGATGCTGGGACGAGCCACCCTCGATGGGCCCAACAGATTTACCCCCCCTCCTCCTCCTCCTCCTCCGCCCTCAGTATTCGTCGCCTCCGAAGTTCTTTACCTTAACTTGGCATATAATTCCCGCCTCGGCCTTCTCCCCCCCTCCCCGTCCTCTCCCCCCAGCCAGTGGTTCGTCCTACCCCTCTCCCCCCGCCAATCCCCACTGTGGACGTCGCAGCCCATGTCTGAGTTTCTCGTATTTGCTTTCAACCCCCCCTCCCCCCCCAAATTCTACACACACACGACCTACCTGCGGATAGCTCGCCGCCTGCACTCGCCAACACCTCAAATGGCGGTCCCAGCGGCGTTGAGTGGCGGACCTGGGGCCCGGGGGCAGGGGGAAAGGACAGGGGGAAAACCAATAAAAATAGAAACTAATCTTCTTCCGCAGCAATTTGTATGGCAGATATTTTTTTAGCTGTAATACAAAAAACATACTCCGGTATAATTTCATACGTATAGGTGTCCAGGAACTAACCAGGCGCGGCATGAAAGAAGAACAGATGAGATATATTGCCAGATTTTTCAAAAGGATTATCATCTGGAGGATGATCCCTCTGTTAACTTGGGAATACAAGAATTGAATAACCGCATTAAATATATTAAATGGTTGTACTAGAGTTATTGTAAAACAAATGATACGTTGTCCAGGAATATATTATCGAAAATAAATATATGTGAAAATTTTTCATTAAGTTATATATCGACTAGACGACGAATATCAACATCAGTAAATGCGCTACTGTTTTAATATGAAATGCTCGTTTGAATTACTTCGCAATCGAAAAAGTAAAAAATAAAGGTAGTAATGCACTCATAGCTTTCATCATAACTTCAAGGCATGTATCGAGGGTATTGTAAGCTGGTGGTTTATCCTACCGTCCTGCTAAGTTTTCCAGAACCTACTTCTACTTCTAACATACTAGATAAAATAATATATCGCCGCATATGCCTCTACAGTATCAAACCACCAACCATGTAGATTAGGCACTACTGGTAACGCTCGACCATTGCCCCCCGGAGGATCCAGGGATCGAGACCTATCAGGGTCGGAAATCCTTCCGATGGTGGAAGGTAAGAGTGCCCCTAGTCGATGGACGGTGGTGACCTGGGATAAAGTAGACCTGCGAGCTGACCAGGAATGAAGTTGAGCCGCTGTCGACCCGGCAGATACCTTTGGATGCTGGTGGTGGGTGCGGACGTGATAATATCAACTTGCGAGCTGACCAGGTACTAAGTTGAGGCGCCGTTGATCCGCTAGATTTGGTTGGATGCTGATGGTGAGTTGCTGAGCTTAACGAATACATTCTGAAGTCGGAAGGGTTGAACGGATTAGGGTGCCCCTCTCGCAGGGGAGAGCAGGGACTGCCTCGGGAAAGGGGGCCGCTGGTGAAGCTATACCACTCTGTAACAACATACATACATACTATTTTTTCTATTCTTCCTACAGCAATTTTAAGCTTAGGTAAAATGTATCGATCTATAATATTGCTACTTGAAGTATCGTATTCACCCTTAATACCGTCGAGATTTGCGTATAAACAGGAAAATGATAAGCATTCCAGAAAGGCTTAATAAACAACCGCAGGGAAGGGGGGTGGGGGGTTCCAGGGGCGGAATGGGGAAGCGTAGTACGAATCAGCCGTACGACGGCGGGCGGGAGGGATTGCCACTCCCCTCTATCTACAGCTTGTCTAACTGCCGAGTACGGCCCCCCTCCATCCCACCCTTTCCCAAGCAAAGTGGGGAGTCGACCCTCCCCTCCCCTCCCCCAC